CAAGCACGGCTGACGGGACACGCCGGAATGAACGGGCCTGCCATGCACGGATATATTCATTCGCAACAAACAGTCCCAGCGACGTACAAACTGCTGGTGCATGAGCTGCCACACTTTTCGGACGCACTGGTGGTTCAGGTGTCTGCGGGGGCTAATTTGTTGTAGACTTGGGGGGGGGATGGAGAGGGGGGGGCGGTTGTCTCACGTTCTCTACACTCAACTTCAAAAGAAAAGCATAACAGTGCCACGCTGTTTTGTCGGACTGTGTATCTCTGATCACGCACATGCACGAACTCGTTCGCGAGAGACGGACAGACAAGAAAAAGTTAGAGACAGTTTGTGAAAGTTGGTTTCGTCATTGAACCACCAATCCATTTCACATGTAACTCGATTGCAGGCACTGATTAAAGCCCAGCAGATTGGTGGCTGGTTTGGTTTTCAGAACCGAGCTGTGCACACGCGCGCAACGATGGGCGCGGATTACATTTATAAACGGCGGCCATCGTTGGGCCTAGCCTCTGATTTTCAGGGAGTAGGCTATTTTCCCATTTTCCCAACACCCATAAAGGTAGTGGTGCTCTTAAAAATATAAATATGCTAAATCACTGGTGCAACCAGGCAAGATTACACCTGCGTTGGTTCGTTTTGTTAAACCACCACTACCTTTTCCATGTGGGCTGCCGTTGGGCCCCTGATTCTTCCGGAGGCCGAAACGAAACGACGGGCGCGGATGACATTTATCAACGGCGGTCATAATCGGCCCCAGCCTCTGATTTTCAGGGAGTAGGCTATTTTCCCGTTTTCCCAACAGCCATAACGGTAGTGGTGCTCTTATATATATATATATATCGTCACAAACAGATATATATATATATATATATCGTCACAMACAGAACTGCCCGGTAAACCGTAGGCAGAGATATATATATATATATATATATATATATATATATATATATATATACTATTTGTGACAATATATATATATCGTCAAACAGAACTGCCCGGTAAACCGTAGGCAGAGAGGGAGAAGAGGACAACAAACGAGGGGATATATATATATATATATATCGTCACAAACAGAACTGCCCGGTAAAACCGTAGGCAGAGAGATATATGCTAAACCACTGGTTTAACCAGGCAACATCACACCCTTGTTCATTTCTTTTAACCACCACTACCTTTTCCATGTGGGCCGCCGTTGGGCCCCTGATTCTTCAGGAGGCCAAAACGAAACGATGGGCGTGGATGACGACATTTATCAACGGTGGCCGCTGCCGGGCCCAGCCTCCTATTTTTAGGGAGTAGGCTATTTTCTCGTTTTCCCAACAGCCGTAAAGGTACCGGTGCTTTTAAAAATATAAATATGCTATTTGCTTGTCTACGGTTTCAGTGTTGCAAGGCAATTTTTGCCAGTAATGGAATTTGAATTTTAGGCAAACAAAAAGGGCAACTTTTATACCCATCCACCATCCATCACTTAAGCCTCCAATGGAACAATGAGACAGTGGACAATGGGACAACCCATTTGTTGTATGCCATGCAATCCAGCAATTGAACCATCATAGGTTCCCCAGCCACTTTGCAGAACTGCACCGTCCATGCTGGCGCATCGAATGGGACGTACACGGGTGCCATTTCAATGGAAATCCATCCAGGCCAAAGAGGTCGGCCTCGCCTGCGACCTGTTTTGCCTCGATGGATGCACGCACAGCAGCGCGTCTCTGAAAAAATGACTGGTGGCTGGTGGCTATTGAGCAGTATGCGTTCGCACCAGAACGCTGATGGATAGCTGCATGATAGGAATACTGTCACGCGCTGTTCGGCGGACAGACACTCACCTCTGACCCCTCGCTAAATAAAAACTCCACAACAACAACATATACATAATAGAGTCATTGCTGGTCAACTCCTGGGGAATCATTGCCTTGCCCCACTACTCGACACTCTACAGGTTAAAATAATAATAATAATAATAATAATAATTTACATGGATCTGCCACAACACTGACAAGGTGCTGCAGGCGCACAAGAATGGTCATCCATAAAATTCGATATGCAACAAGTGACAAATCCTATCTCAAGACCATCAGGGGGGGGGGGGGTTGGGGGGAACAAAAAAAACAATCACGAAAATAATAAATCACAGCAGGGTCATCCAACGGGACCGAATGGCAGAACCCAACCACCCACACCAGAGCCCAATGACATTCATTGCATCGCCCTTTAACTGTGAACAGCCCTGGTCGGTGCCATTCAGCTAATTACATCAGGACTCGAACTCATGTTTTGTTTACTATGGCAGTTTATACATGTGTAGCAGTCGGCCACATTGGCCCGTTACTGGACTCCATTTTTGTCCGTTTGTTTCTCCTTTCAAAAAAAAGAAAAAAAGAAAAAATACTCGAATTTTCAAGCCAGTGTGTGTGTTGTTTGCCTTCTCACCCGCAGCTACCAACGTCACCCGAACGGAACGCCTCGTCACTGAAGCTGTATTTGGACAAACTTTCAGTCCACATGCAGCCATAATGACCAGACATTCTATTCAGGTGAAGAACGTGGTGACCATTTCCACCTGAGGATGAGCGGTAGTATGAAATCACTTGTCGCACAAGCAAAAGCAACGTCCCAAGAGTCAGAGCTCGTTTGTAGCCCTGAGGATGAGCGGTAATATGGAATCACTTGTTCCACCTGAGGATGTGTCAGGCTCGTTTGTAGCCCATTTCTTTCGGAATAAACAAGAATCGAAGATTATCGTTATTCCGCTGTCTTTCATAACAATCGCGGAGCCACTGCAAGCGATGCGTCCTTATGCGCCTCAGGTCACCATGTCGACCTTCAGCACTCGCGTTTCCTGCAATTGTGGACCGCGGGGCATTCCTAAAGAGCATTCATTTTTCTATTGCAGCAAAAGAAATCCAAAGATTCCGAACAAACAAAAGAAGAGGCCTCCAGCACCACCGTCTTCACCCGAAAAGAACGCGCGGTCATTGTAAAAGCTGCATTTGGTGCAACCTCAGACTCAGATACAGCGATAATGGCCTGGGCGTTCTATTCGGGGTGAAGACGGTAGGCTCTCATGGCACCGTGCACCGTGTGCCACTCCTGAAAGTGCAGTAAATCTCCTATTGCCGCAAAAATCGAACAAACAAACAAAAGAGAACCCGCGAAAGGTCAGAGCACAAGTGCAGCAGTGGTTCTCATACTCTTCCGTAAATGTGGCAGCAAGCGTCCGAGTTCCACTTGAGTAAACAGCGGCACGCTTCCTAGTTCCAAGTTCGGAGTCCCACTTGCGTAAACAGCGGGGGCAAGCTTCCGGGTTCCGCATTCCAGTAGCGTAAACAGCGGCAAGCGTCCAAGTTTCGAGTCCAGCTCACGTAAACAACGGCTGCAAGCTTCCAAGTTCCAATTCCCGTTTGCATAAACAGCGGCAGCAAGCTTCGGCCTCCCGCGTTCCGCATTCCGCTTCTGAGTTCCTTACAAATCCATACTTCGTAAGTCGTTCTACAAGCTCCTTGATAGGGGCTAGGGCGTATCAGCAGCAAGCTTCCCAGTTCCGACTTCTGACTTCCGACTTCCGACTTCCAACTTTCGCGTAAACAATGGCAAGCTTCCGAGTTCACATACACTGACTCAAACTCACTACCGCATAGATTAATGAAATAACAGCGGCAAGCTCCCCAAGTTCCAGTTGCATAAACAGAGTCCCCTTTCACTAGACACCTACCAAATTACTGCAGCACCGTAAAAAGTACTGAAAACCAAAAACTACTCGTCAATGGATCAGCAGTTCGAATCCTATCTTCAGATTCTTAACAGAAAAACAATGGGGTACCCCTTTACAAAACAAAAAGGTTAATCAAAAACCCTTTCACGACTCTGACTCTCTCTCTCTCTCTCTCTCTCTCTCTCTCTCTCTCGCGCGCGCGCGCGCGCGCGCGACCACAGCACGAACTCCGCTTTCTAGGCACCACACAGAGAAAGATACAATAGAGACAGGTAGGCAGTTGAGTCCGGACGACAAACGGTGAAGAAGACAAAATTAAAGAGCTCCGATTTGAAACATTGGTCACAAAACATCCTCCTTACCACGATGATCACCTCTGTTGAAACCACTGCTTCACCGAAAATCCTCCCTTCTCAAGCCTGTGATGTAAGCTCCATGTGTTATGGCCGCACGTTCAATGGAGCCAAAACAGACCACACGCCTCTTGCGGCACAACTCGGGAGCTTCTGCCTGATGTATGGTCAAAAATCTATTGGCTAATTAACAAAAGCCGTAAGTACATAACATCAAAGTGCACAGCCATTTGCACGGGGCCGGCCGAGGCAGGGCTTGTGAGCTGGAGGCAGCAACATGGGAAGAGTAAGAAGGACAACACCTTCCACAAAAGTGGAGGAAAAATGGGAAAAGTGCAATCAATTTGCATTTGTTTCCACAAAATCAACAGCACCCGAAGAGCACGCTGTACTTCACATCAGCACGATGAGACGACGGTGTTGTACTCCAACAATTACAAATATAATTGGATGAAGGGAAAAAAAAACAGGGAAAAACACCCGTGACAATTTGCAATACTTCATACAAAATAAGAGGGGGCAATAGCCGCAAACAGCCGAGCAAATGTATGTGGACTGCTGCCTATGAGAATGAGCGTAGCTGGATTCCAGACGCGTCGCCTGTGCGTTTCAAGTGGTGCCATGGACAATCTTACATCAGAAAGCAGCTTTCGTTTTCTGAGATCTGTAAAATAGCGTACCGTTTGAAGTCGCTAAAGAGTGCATGGCACACACACACACACACACACACACACAGAGAGAGAGAGAGAGAGAGAGAGAGAGAGAGAGAGAGAGAGCGAACTCTTAT